CCTTATTGGGACAAATCTTGATTCCTTGGGAAGATTTATTCCTAATTGTGTCAGATAAATGAGAAGGTGTGTGTTAACAGTCCTTGGATGTAACTGTTCCCATGGTTGCATCAGGGAGTCATCACACAAGGAAACCAAGTTAATTAAAACAGTTCCATCCTCTGGAGTCCCCAGGGGCATCGATGATCCAGCAGGAAAGCTGCTGCTGCTAGACTGGCTGTTCGGTTCTAGCACGACAGACGGTACGATGTGGTAAAGACAGTGAGCCGAGCAGGGGCCCGCTGAGAAGTTAAATTGGAATTTACACAACTGCAGAATCAAAAACTCTGACACTGATGTAGCTGTTGAGTGAGCAACACTTGTACTGGATTGAAAAAAATCTTTATTTCTTACAATTAATTATTATTTCTTATAATCCAAAAAAGGCAACAGATGCTCTAATCAACTTTCTGGATTATGATGATTCTCTCTGCTGTCAAGAACTTCCAAAGGGATTGTAAGGTATTTTAATCATGTAACATCTATAGAAGTTGGAAAATTCAGACACTGAATTTGTTTTTCCAACCAAAACCCATTAAGTGGAGTACGGAGAATAGTACAACAGATTTAAATAGTTAATTGAGTCACGGGCTAAACAAAGCACTTGGGAGTTTTTTTAAACATTCCCTTCCTGACCAGTAGTTAGAAGGTGACCAAAGCATATTTAGGACACAATGCCATAAATTTCCTTACCCTCTCTGGTTCCTCAGAAGCATCTCTGGATGGTTACCAAGAAATGCTAGGTGGAGTGAACACAGTTTCTGTGCTTACTCCAGATTCTGGGACATTCTGGAGGACCCTGGTCTCAGTCATGGGGCTCATTCAACCAGCTGGCCTCTGCACAGGGCCAAACCTTAGGGGCAGGCTTTTATGATTTTACTGCTGCACTTAAGCTCTTTTTAGTTTGCCTCAATCTGGATATAAATTTCTCTCTGCAATGTGGCTGATTCACTGGTGTCTTCCCCTGGAGTGCTACCTGGGTCTCCTAAGCACTAAAGTCTCCCTCACTAATGAATCACCCATGAGTAGAGCAAACGGAGGTCCCACATGCACAGACGCTTGGTGGGGCCCTTGTGAGGAACACTTGCATGGTAAGCCCTCTGCCACTTTTCCAATCGTGCTCTAGATTCCTCCACCAATCTGGTTTCTTGTGAAGGTCAAACCAAACTACACCATAAAATGGTTTGAACATTTCCTACATGTAGTAGCAAACCTATATTATAAAATATGGACTCAAATTTCACATCACGTTTGACCTATTTTCCTAAAACCAAATCAAACTAGATTAGAATGGTACCCAAATAAGAGAAAACATTTCTAATTGGATGGTCATTAGGAAATATGACGTATGCTAATTAAACTCAAATGAGTCCGCTGAACATGGAAGCAATGGGACTAAAATAAATGTGATGAGCACTAGTTCCTTTATTGTGTGTGACTGGAGTATTTTTATTTATTTTCTCTTTTAAAATTTATGTCCAAGAAATATACAGCAACAATAACAACTGGCTCTAGGAAGTTGCTTGTGCTCTTTAATGGTTCAATAAAAATAATAAGGGAATGACAGTATTAGTGGTTTTGTTGGCATACATGAAAATCTGGCATGCAAGCATTTCCCAAATATATATATCAAATTACTTTTAATAGATCTTTTCTTATTATAAGATCTTTTCTTATATTTTCCTCATAATAAGATCTTTTTATATTTTAGATAATCAAGACTAAGAATTTGAAAAATTACTTGGGAAAAAGTCTCTCAAATGGAAAAACATTGAAAGCTACAATGATCTCAACCTACTGCTAGAAGGAAATCTGAAAAAGTTCCTTAGAAGCATCTGTGGATGGTATCAAGAAATGCTTGTTGGAGTGCACTCCATTGTTTCTGTTTAGTCCAGATTCCGGGCCATCTGCAGATCCCTCATGATCCCGTCACTCTCCACCCAACACGCTCAAGTCAAAATTCACCGTTATTATTATTGTGAGTAAAAGGCTACCATATATAAAGAATATGTTACATCCCAGTTAGTGTTCGAATAAAGTACCAGCTTTAATCTCAATAATTACTTTTTGAGGCAAATACATTCACCCCCATTTTTCCTGGTGAGGAAACTTAGGTTCAGAAAGTTTAAGGCAGTAACCTGAAATTGTGGGTTACAAGCGAGTGGTTCCATTTTCACACCCCAACTGGTGGATTTGGAGCATCCCTACCACATGAGAACTAAATGAGACAATACAATGGGAGCTGTCTCTCCAGCACAGGGAGCCAGGGACTCGCCACCTTCAGTAAACCAAACACTTCACTTCCATAAAGCAGCCTGGGCTCGCAGGATCGCGTCTGACAGCTACACTGCACGGCTGACTTGTGTTGCGTTGGTAACTGACTCTAACCCAAAGATGAGTTTCACCCAAGCTGTCATTAAGTCTGACTGCCTCTTCTCAAACACATTTCTATTTGTACGTAATCCTTAAAAACGGAGTAAGGTTTTACCTCCTGCTAAACCTTATCTTGCTACTTTGCTTCCACACTGTCCCCTCCACACGATTCTGACACACGGGCCCTTAGTCACTTTTAAAGCTCTGTATCACTTTAAAAAAAAAAGAGTTTTTGGTGTCTTCATCCAAGACTTTGATAAGAACTTATTTTAAAGGAGAGAAAAGACTGAAGGGTAAAGTTTTTCAACCTCTGTTTACCTATTACACCCTGTGCACCTTGCCAGCCAAGGTTTACGTTCCACGGCTTGTATCTAAAGACTAGGGGCGTTTTGAATATGTTTTTTTCAACAAGCATCATATTCTCACTCTGAGAACCATGACACTGATTCACAACAACCATTTTTCTTATTCAACCGCTCAGCGACAAATAAATCAATTTCACTTCACCACGTCCAAACTTCTCCATCTCCACAGCAATGTCAATAATTAACACATTTTCTTCTACTACTGAAGTCTGTTGTAAAACCGAAAATATTCTGCTGGCAAAGGTTTTGTGGCAGGAAAAAGTTACTCTTAAGAATCTGTCACATTTATAAAAACACTTTATTATAAAGGAAAGTAACTGACCAACATTGCCCTGCCACTCCAAATGCTCACAGTGACGGTAGAAGTAACACTGAATTGTATCCAAGGTTAATTACAAAATTCTGTACTCAGAAACACAAATTACCTCTAATGAATTCGAAGCACGGGATATAAATTAAATTTAGCAGAATGATGAACACTACACATCAGTCAGTCCTGAGGCATCTACTCTCCCCACACAAAACACTACAAACTCTTTTTTAGAAAACTCTGGTAGCTATGACTGACTAGAGGGCTGCCAGGCAATCCTATTTATTCCATTATACTGTATAATAGAATCAATAGAAAGACTCTCTTTGAAGTTAACAAAAAAAGCTTTCCTTGACTTGGATCAATTTTTCCAGAAAGTAAATCCACAATGGAAAAATACCACCTCTTTCAAGGTTACAAATGTCCTTTAAGCTTCATAGTAAAACACAGGTAGAAGTATATTATTGTATCTCTCCATTTCCAAAATAAACATTCAAATCAACAACTGAACACTTTGGGCTAAGATTTAAGCCCAAATCAAAGCCAGGAAAATGCAAGAAATGGATCTGAGCATGGCAACGTTAGGTAGGATCCTTAAAACATGTATTTCACTGCCCACAGCAACCCATAGATATTTGTCAAGTTATATGATGACAAAAATTATATAAATATAGGCTAAATAACTTTTGATCTAATAACATCTTCAAAATATATATACATTTCCTATGTTCCTGCAATCTGTAATAATTTAGTAATCCAACCCCATCTCTACCCTTATTGACATTATCATCGTGAAATGGATTTGAATTTTCTGTTCCAAGAAAAGCATTGAGTGCATGAGTGTCTTATGCAAAATATAGCAGAAATGATATGGGGGCTGTAGACAAAGCAGAGATGAATGAATGTGGGACATGGGAAGTCAGGTGAGCTCTGTGCTATTTATGTCATAAGGAAAGAGAAACAGAAATGTGAACACACAGGTGTACACTGTCCACGAGCCCAGGAGCGTGTGAGCATGCGGTATGAGCACGCGGTGGGAGGGGCTGGTGTAGAGAGACGTGTAATGTCCCCTGTGTGGCAAAGGGCAGGGGCCTGGTGGTGGGAGGAGTGAGCTCTTTGAATGAAAACATTAACTTTGAAACAGAATCACCCTGCTAAAAGAGCAAGCTGCTCCTTCCCAGCTGTGGGGAGAAGATGCCACGGGTGGTGCACAGAAATCTGTTCTTCTGGGTTGAGTTCATGACCTAAATGTACTCTCCATGATACTTAGAGAACTCAACAATCAACCAATCACCCATTTCCATAGCTACGGACAGGCTCTCTTGTTGTTGTTAACTTGGACTTGCTAAACATCTCAGACAAAAGTCATTCAACTGTCTCTTCTCTGAGAGGAATCTGTTTTCTTTACCAAAAGAACACTTGAGCTGCAGTGCCCACCACAATGTACATTTTACAGAGTCCTCACCCTCCCAGCAAGAAAAAGACACCCACAGTTCAAATTACTCCACTGGTCCTAGGTACAGAAATCTCCAAGTTTCTACCATTAAACAACTGACTTGGGCATTAAATAATCAAACAGAAAAGGCCAAATTCATTTAAATCATAGCTCATAGTTAGGATGTTTAAAACTTGATTTTTAAGGCCTCCAATTTGTTTTCCTACCATGGAAAGTGGTGGAGATTTTTTTAAAAAGATGACCACATTTTTCTTTTGATTGTACCATTTGGGGGACATTATAAGTACTTTTAGTAACTTGATCCCTGTTAGAGACTTTGGAAATAATTCTGTATTTAGAAACGGTCTGAGCATTTTCCTGGAATTCTGAAAACATAAAGAGGCATGATGTGTGTTTTGTGCCAACATTCCCCAGCTCTCAGTATCTGGGACAAAAAAGTTCTAAAATACACACTTACCTCCACATCACAGGTGTACTCTGATCCATCTAGAAGTATCACTTTGCACTGCATGCTTTTAGGCTTTTTGACAATCTTCAATGGAGATCGAGAGAGTTTACTGCTATATGATTTCTGAGAGAGTTTATCGTCTTCCAGTTGCTGATATTCGAGCTGTTTTGCAGCCCCAGCAGCAAATTCCCGTTCCTTGTCAGTGACCTGTGAAGAACAATGAATAGTTTCATTGCAAGACAGGAAATAACTACTGCATTGCTCGGGCAATACCAGAGCACTTTGGAAACAGGCATTCCCATTTCCTAAAGGATCAGAGACACCTGAATCGGGATATTAGAAAAGGGTATAAATACAGATACTTACAATGCTAACAATTTTACCTAAATAGCTTTTGCCCTTGAGATGCACCAGTGGGCCCTTATTTCAGCTTGACTCAAGGATTTACTTTGGAAGAACTGAGCAAATGCCATTGAGACTTCACTGAGCAAAGAAGAAAAATAAACAGAATCCTGGCTTTTTAAAAAGGTGTTGGATAGTATCAGTCTTTAAATCTAGATTTTTACCTAATGTACTTCATCTTCTTCAGTCACTGGTTCCTTCTATATTCTAAGACCCATAACCAGCAAATATACATACAAGGTATCTTATAAACGTTAAGGCCTACAGAACTTTAAGTATTAATCTTCTCAGTAGTTGTACAACTGTTAAAATATTTGATTTAGCTCTAAGTCAGTTCAATGAAGCCAGCAGCACTGAAATTCACCACAAAGTAATCCCCTAAATCTACTTCCCCTCATTGTAATGAGCCAATATACGAACAGACCAAATCTGTCCAAAAGCATCAATCTGCTTTCAAATCACAACAGTGTAGTCCAGGCAGGACTCAGAACTGCAGAAGATATCTTATGTAACAGCAAAATTCTCCCTTGAATCACTCTCCTTTGAAATCTCTCTGTGCACTGCTGTCCAACTACTCTTTTTACATCCCTCATCTAAGCATTAAATGACCATCAATGGTATTAGTGCAAATTCAACTCATGGGGCAGACTACCACTCCACCGGCCTGCAAGTATACAGACAGTCCACAGGAAAATACGTTCCGAAATTCAGATTAGGCCCCTTGAATAAGCATGAAATTTCCTCTCTCATGAACATACTATTATTGTCCAGGTAGCTAAGAGTATATGGGCTTAAGAGTAAAGACAATATTGACAGTCTAGCATTTCAACTTTTCTTCTTTATTAGCCTCTATAATTTTACAACACTAATATAATCACAAAGTTATTTTTCAGTATATTTATTTTGGATTTTAGGTATAGATTCTTGCTTTTACAATGGCATTTTCTATCTTGTATTACATTCAGAAGATTAAAAATACAGTCCTTTCCTCCATTACCCTGCCCAGGAAAGGAATTCAAGGAAAAACTCTTGAGAAGTTCTTAAGAATAAAAAACAAAAATCAGCCCTGGCCAGTGTGGTTCCATTGGTTGAGCACTGTCCCACGCACCAAGAGATGGCAGGTTAGATTCCCAGTCAGGGCACGTGCCTGGGTTGCCAGCTCGATCCCCAGTAGGGGGCGTGCAGGAGGCAGCCGATCGATGACTCTCTCATTGATGTTTCTCTCTCTCCCTCTCCCTTCTGCTCTCTCTAAAAAAAAAAATCAATAAAAAAATATTTAAAAAAATAAATATAAAAAAAAAACGGAGGAAGAGATAGGACTAATTTAGGTCTCTTGACTTTGTAACCAGTCATCTTTCCCACAAAGGGTTTAGTATCATTTCTCTTGCTTGGTTTTAAACATCTGACTATAGAAAAGATAAAGTATACTTAACCATGTCTGGGTATAGAAACTCTTCCATCTCTACAATTATCCCCCACTTTAATTTTTATTTCAATTCAGAGATAAGAGGAAAGAATAAAGAAAAGCCAACTTAGTTATTTTAAACTTCTGAAGATTTAAAAACAAACATTACCACCATCACTCCTCCACAAACAGGTAAAGAAACATGAAAACAACCCTTCCTTAGATTTTTTTTAACAAGTTGGAAGAATAATCCTTATCACAAAACATCTCAGATCAGACAGAGCATCTATTTATAAAACATAAAAATAAATGTTATTCTCGATACTATTTAAAAGCAAAACTTAAATTCTATGGGAAAAGAAGTAAAATAATCAGGTTGTAACTTATACTGTAGGTTAATGTTATAAAAATGTGTTGTGCGTGCCAAAGAATTTCACTAATATGCTGATTTCATGTCTCTTCTCTCACATGGTCTAAAATGTCCAGCTTGACACATCTGACCTATAAAAAGTAAATCATTTGCAGGGGTCTCTAGATTTCTTACCACACGTGAGTCAGCACTCTAAAACATGTTGACGCCAGGTCTGATGTTTTAAGCCAAAGGCATTTAAACATGGATTCATTCAAGGCCCAGGTGTAAACCATGCTTTTTATTTTACATGAAAACTTTTAAAAGAAATATTCACATTACACATGACAACTGAAATATGTCTAGTATGTAATAGAGTGGAAAATATACATGTATATAGGGGAGGAAAAAAGGCTCTCCTGAACATCCACTCAGAGTAGCTGACAACATTAGGGTCAGAATGACTCCTGGGAAAAGCCAAAATAGCTCTAACCCCTTGGCTTGAATAAAAATCAAGGGCATAATTAAAGCCATCAATGTGGTGTCTAGCCTTCCTGTAAGCCCAGATAAAACCAATAACCTGCAGTCCAGATTTCAGTGTGAGTTTAAGAGCTTTAATCAAACAGAGCAGTTACCAAGCAAGGTTGTGGAATGTCATTCATTGAAAGCCTTAAAATAGTGTAAATTTTCATCTTCGTAGGACCAGAAGGGGTGAATCAGATGACCCCTCATAGTTCCCTCTTGTGCTAAGAGACCAAGGTCAGACAAGATCCTGAAGAGCTCAGTAAACATTCTTTAATTGCTTTTCTGAGTGATGCCAGCTGCTGCAGGGGAGCAGGGCCGCATGGATCCTGTGGGCTCACCTCCTTCCTCACAGGGGTGCTGTGTGCTGCAGCAGCTGCAAACTGCTCCAAGGCCTGGTGCTGCTCCTCTGGCCCTGGCTGCGCCTCCACGGGCCCCTGTGGACCCGCTGCCTCCTGGGGCTCGGCCTCCTGCTCAGGCTTGGGTTCGGAGTCTGAGCCAGATTCGGTCGTCATGGTTGATTGTTCTGCAAGCAGAAAAAGGGAAAGTCCCATCACTCGGTGTGATTACCTTCCCTAGATGGCAAAACCAGGATGCCACACGTGAAGGCTGCAGAGAACCACAGTGCGAAAGATGGAGAAATGCTAACAAAGCTGATCCTACTGCACAACTAACAGGGGACTTGCCAACGTTAGCATGAAGATGGCTGTCCGTGAACAGTTCAATATTAACATTTAACTTGAAGTCAAAGATGACCTGTAATGAACACAAGTTTTATTCCTGTTACGTTTTTGATGATCTAATAATGGGTGATCTAATTTTTTTTTCCATTCCCTTTCCCCTTCCTATCTTTAGGGACCCTGTTCTGCCTCTCCCAACCCTGGAATCTCTCCATGCTTGCATGAACAAATGCCTTTCTCTTTGATTTCTCATCAAAACCACAACTACAACAGAGGCGTCTCCGGTGACATGGACTCTGTCCCATACTGGACAAGCGCTGGCCGTGGCTGGAGGGAAGCTGGGCAGCACACCTCTCCCTCCCTCACAAGGTTCATTCTTCTAGGCTTCTTCCTGGCTTCCTTCCATTTCCTTTGAATGTTGAAAGGGAAATATCTCATAAACTCAAAAAACAGATCTTAATTTATAATAATCTGCTCTTACATCCTAAAAAAGGTTTTATAAAATATAACCACCATTTTCTAAGCATTTGATGGTCAAGCCACTTAAATATATTGTGCCTCCATTTCCACATCTGCTAAATGAGGGAAATGAATTATGATCATATCTGAAGAACTTATTTTCTGCTGTTACTTTTCCCTCTATTAATAGATGTGCCATTTTGTTTAAAGCAGTTTTTTGCTCTAAGAAGCAACAGAGCTATTACGCCCATGGTTACCATGCCATTGTAAGTAATTTTTTATCTTGGGTATGGGAACTACCTCAAAAAAAACAGATCAGATTGTCATATTTTTCCCCTTCCTAATTCTAACTTTATGGTAAAAATATCAGGAGCAAAAGGCTAGTGTAATGCTTTAAGCATATGATACACACATTAGTATAATGTAAAATTATGCAAAATAATTTAGTAAAACCTCAGTAAAACCATTTAGTTCCTGTCTTTACAATACACAGTGGAATATGTTTAATAATTTGAAGAAAAGGGGAAACATAAAAAATAAATACCAATCTATGTTATAAACTAAATACTGTAACGGTGCTTCTATGTAGGGTTACTTTTTACAATCACCAGTTATTCTTTCTGTTGAATAAGAGACATATCAACCTGACAGGTGCTCAGCTGCCCAAAGTGTATGTAAATATCAAGTCCAAATTCAGAGCAAGATAGTAATCCAAACAAAACTGACACATTATTTTCTCCTCTTACATTACATTTTAGATTTTCAAGCAAATCTTGAAAGTAAATATTATATTCTCTTTTGTATGTTTATACTGAAAAGTGGTATGAGTCTACAGGAAAAACAGTGGAGCCTACAACTGAATTCCATCTTTCAGAAGGGGGCAGATTAGTTTTGATAGTTCAATTCACCAAAGTCTTATTAAGCAACAAATATAAGTCAAACACTGCTTATAGTTTAGAAACAGAGATGAATATGTTATAGGGCCCTTCCCCACCCCAAGAAGCTCCTACTCTGTGACAGAAATAGACAATCCCCAGAATCCATTCTCTCTGTTTTCCTTTTAGTAACTAAACATTCTGTTTTTGCCGGTACTCCTCTATCCAGCTTGAGACCACAATGAGCTGTGGCCATGTGATCAAGGCTGACCAATGAGACAACAGAGAGAGTGTATTCAATGCTTAGGTCATGGCCTAAAGACGCCACTTGCCCTAGATTCCCCTTTCCCATTAGCTGGAAATTAATGACTAACGTGGTCCCCACAGACCCAGTCACGGAGGTCCCAAGTTAAGGAGGATGCCAGAGCTGCCCCTTTCAGCCTGGGTCCTTGGATGGCCTCATGGAGCACAACCCACCTGCTCCGGATTGCTACATGAGGCGGAAATCTACCGTCTTGTTTGAGCCCACTCCCAATCCAATTCTACAGACGAACTTCTACTAGTCATACTCTGGTGGTACCCATCCTACTAAAGCAAAGTAGCCTTCCCTTGACCTCACTTCCTCCGTCAGCTACTACCATATTTCTCTGCTTTCCACTCATAACTTCTCCAGAAACTTCCTGTTGACCCTTACTGTCTTACTTCCTCACTTCTTCTTCGTAGCCACTCCTGTCTGACTCCATTGGGTGGTTCTTGTGGTCAGTGCAATGGACCACGTGCTCTCGTCTGTTCTCAACTCATCTGACCTTTCAGCAACCCCAACCCGGCGATGAGACGTTCCTTGCCAACACGTTTCCAGCTCTTGGGATTCAGAACTCACCTCTCTCTCCTGCTTTTCTCCTATCTCTCTGGCTACCCCTTTTCACTCCTCATCTAACCTCTAAATGTGGGAATATCCTGGAAAACTCCATTCTAGACCCTCTTTTCTACTCTCTACATCCCCTCCACAGTGGATGGTATCTTTTTCCAGGGCTTTAAATAGTTTCTATAAGCCATCAACTCGCACATTCGTCTCTCTAGTCCATACCTCTTTTCTGAGCTTTTAAAACTCCAGCTGCCCCCCTGACATTCCTCACAGGTAGCTACTGATTTTTTCTCCCAAATCTGCTCCTCCCCTTATCTTCTTCACCTCAATAAATGGCAGTGCCATTTCTTCAAGACAGAATTCCAGAAGTCACTTGTGACATTTCCCTTCCCATACCTTCCTTATCTAATATAGGAAAAGTTTTGCAAAATATATAATTTTGTAAATGTATATAAATATATATTAAAAATATATTCTTCCAAAATACAACTGACCACTGAATAATGTAGAGTTGAGGGCATCCCCTGCCAAGGTATAAAATCTGTATATAACTTTTGATTTCCCACAAAAGCTTAACTACTAAATAGCCTACTGTTGACCAGAAGCTCTACCAATAACACAGGTGATTAACACATATTTTGTATGTTATATGTATTATATACTGTATTCTTACAATAAAGTAAGCTAGAGAAAAGAAAATATTAAGAAAATCTTAAGAGAAAATACATTTACAGTACTGGATTTATCAATACTGTAAGTTTACATCATCTATTTACAAGATGAAGAGCCTCAGTACCTATATCAATATTGTCTTATATGATATAAAACACTGCAGACATTCATTATACTTACTACTAACACTAGACATCAAAATAGAAAAGATTGTTGAAAAAACTCATATTTATTTACAGATATAACAATTCATGCATTAATAACGAAGAAGCAATATGATTGCTTTATAGTAGCTTATTGTAATCGATATAAAATCTCCAAAAAATTCTCCAATATATTTATTAAAAATAATCCAAATATAAGTGGACCCACGCAGCTCAAACCTGTGTTGTTCAAGGGTAAACTGTATATCTTGAATTGGTTTCCTGACACTAAGCAAGCCATCATTTCTCTCCTCAATAACCTTTTCTCTGCCTCTATTCCTGCCCACCTCTATGTTATCTGATTTTCATAAACATAAATCTGGTCACATCACTCATTGCTGAAAACCCTTTAATAGCTTCCCAGTGTGCTTGAAGTTAAATCTGAACTCTTTAATTACTGTGGCCTTCAGGGCAAGCCAAGGCCTCAACTCCCTATCCACACCCAGCAGCACTGCCTATCCCGCTCTCCCACAGTGATCCAGCCACATGGTCTCCTTTCTGCTTCTAAACCACATCCAGATTTTCTGCCTCAAGATTTTTTAGACATGTTGTTCTCTTTACTGAAAGCAGTTTTTTCCTCTGATCGTCATGTGGCCAGTTCCCCATTCCTCAAGTGTTGGCCAAGAGAGGCTTTCCCTTTTTACATGGTTATTCCAATTGTGCCTTATTGTTTCCTTCCTTTAATGTATCAGATTTTATAATTATTCAACCCCCTCTTAACCACCTTCCCTTATACTCAAGGGTGGGGATCATATTGTTTATACCCCAGTATACTCAGTATAATATCTGCGGGGTATACCCAGTAGATGCCTAAAACTGTGGATAATACCAAATCCTATATCTACTACGTTTTTTGAAAATTCATACATACGTATGATAAGGTTGAATTTCTAAATTAGGCACAGTCAGAGATTAACAACAACAAATAATAAAATAGAGCATTTATAACAATATACTGTAATAAAAGTTATATGAATATGGTCTCTGTCTCTCTAAATGTCTGTTAACCGATCTGATAACCCAGACAGCTAAGTGACTAAGGGATGAGTCACATCCCAGGCAGGACAGAGCAAGATGTCATCACACTACTCAGAATAGGGGGCAATTTAAAAATTACGAATTGTTTACTTTGGATATTTGATATTGATTTCCATTTGATATTTTCAGACCACAGCTGAGTACTAAAATCACGGAAAGACAAGCTGCAGATACCGGGGGACTTATTGCATCAACACAGTACCTACAACACAGTAGGAATTTCAATAATTATTTGATGGGCAACTAAATAATAAAATCAACTCCATCATTATATCTCTGCATTTTAAAGTGTAATAACTCTTCTTTATTACACTTTTAAATATCTCTTAAGTGGGTAAAGAGTACGTATTTTATGTTTTAATGGAAAATAGAACTCAGTTAAACTTTCAGAACCAAAATCTACCTACAAGGTAGACACTAGTGGTCTGTTCACAGTCTAATACATTTATCAATACACCGAAGGGCTTTCCAAAAACACAAAAAGAAAATGTTTAGGTAGTTTAGAGAATATCTATAAAAGAGTAACCAGTCACTAGATCATAAATTTAAATAAATGACTACTAGAAAAAGCATATTTTTAAAAAGACTTAATTTTTCCTAGACAGGACAGTTCTTGCATATAAATCATATTATTTTGAAAAATTTGGATACCTTCAGTAGGATTCTGTTATTATGTGTGTTTCAGCAAATAATGGCTATAATAATTAGATGTCAAAACTGTTACAGATGCAGAA